TTTAATATCATCTTATTTAAAATCACCGTATTTAATATCACCTTATTTAACATCACCTTATTTAACATCACCTTATTTAACATCACCTTTTTTAACATCACCCATCAGCTTATTTAACATCACCCTTATTATATTTAACATCATCCTTATTTAAAATCACCCTATTTAATATGACCTTATTTAAAATCACCTTCTTTGACAGAGTTTAGAAAAATGATCAAACTTGAAATATGTGTTTAGAATCTCAAATAGCAAAAATGGAGTATTCTGCAAGACAAACTTGAAATTTATTTCCAGTCTGAGACAAAATGAGTGCCTATAAGAGTCTCTCTTCTAATGGGACTAAAGCACGTTAGCACAAAGTTTATATATAGATTTCATTGTTCTTTTAGCTTGCCATTAGATCTTGTTTATTGGAATTAAAAATACTAAAGAGAGGACAAATTGAGGTGACATTTGTCTGGCACCATCATGATAATGATAGATAATGTGATAATCTGACGTCCTTGGAAACGTATTTAGACAGTTTGTAATGGAATTGCTAAATTTCTTAATTTTCCTTATAGTCTTGTGTTTTTTCCATGAAATTGATCCTAGTAGGTTAAACAAAAAGAAAGAAAAAAACACAGCATTATATTTGAATCAGTAACATTAATGTTTGATTTGGTGATTAACTGCATTAAATGATAAGAGCTTAAGGCAACAACGTTTTTGTCAAAGTGTTATGATTGATTTTGATAGATTAGAAAAATATTTGTGGTACAATATCACTCTGACATTTGTATTGTATATAACATTCTTGATTGTAGATTGTCAATTTCAACAGGATTACACATGCATGAAAATCAATTTCAAAATATCCCCAACATGGTGGCTTTCAATGAAGATTCTCATTATAGGGTCAATATCATTTTAATTTTTGTTAAAGCGTTCATATTAACAGTCAAACATCCAGAAAATCAAAATCCTTTCGCAAGTGGAAAAAGTTGTAAAAGCTTTGGCAAATCTAAGGTATTAACTTACTAGAAAGACAGACTTTGTATGAAATGTGGAGAACTGTTATTGATCCATGGAATGACTACACATTAATATTGAACTGGTAAACATTTCAATGATCTCTTTCCAATCTTTAAAGAGTCAGAATTCTTATTGGATTGAGAAATTGATGTTTGATAATGGTACCATACTAATGGTAGAATGGTGTACTGCTAATGTTTGATACTTATGTTTGATAAGATATCATACATACGTTTGGTAAGCTTGTCATGTTGATGTTAGAGCATTGAATCATGGTTCTGTTTGATAATGGTATCATCCTTCTGTTAGGGAATTGAATCATGGTTCTGTTTGATAATGGTATCATGGTTCTGTTTGATAATGGTATCATGGTTCTGTTTGATAATGGTATCATGGTTCTGTTTGATAATGGTATCATGCTTCTGTTAGGGAATTGAATCAAGGTTTTGTTTGATGATGGTATCATGTTTCTATTAGGGAATTGAATCATGGTTCTGTTTGATAATGGTATCATGGTTCTGTTTGATAATGGTATCATGCTTCTGTTAGGGAATTGAATCATGGATCTGTTTGATAATGGTATCATTATTCTATAAGGGAATTGGATCATTGTTCTGTTTGATGATGATATTATGATTCTGTCAGGGACTTGAATCATGGTTCTGTTTGATAATGGTATCATGGTTCTGTTTGATAATGGTATCATGCTTCTGTTAGGGAATTGAATCTTGGTACTGTTTTATAATGGTATCATTATTCTGTTAGGGAATTGAATCATGGTTCTGTTTGGGAATTAAATCATTATTCTGTTTGATAATTGTATCATTATTCTGTTTGATTATGGTATCATGATTCTGTTTGATAATGGTGTCATGATGGTGTCATGGGTGTGTTTGATAATGGTATCATGATGTTTGTTAATTCTGATGGTATTATGGTTACTAATAATTTTAACTGTTTATGCTGTACTAATGTTTTATAATAGTTTTAATAGTATTTGATTATGGTTCCACAACTGACTCAATATAATCCTGAATTGTTATTGTTCTGTCATCAAAGCTTTTGAAGTTTAAGGATTATTCTTTGGTGCTGCTTATGTACATGCTCATCTTTAATATGTGGCACTGTGAATTCAGGAAATTATACTGTGAAATATAGTGTTTTTTATTGAATTGACTAGAGATAAAATTGAGTGGGATTATTGATGATATACTGATGATTATCTAGCTCCAAGTTTTATTACTGCTTCTTTTTATTATTCCAATTTACTGGATTTTACCACTGCACCAAATTGATTTCTAGAGTTATATATCAAATCTGTGATTTCTCTATTCGTAGGAAGCCTTAAAGAAACTCTTATATATTAGAGAATATTTCAGAAAACATACATGTTAATATTTAATACCGGTACATATAAATCATAGAACTGCCTTCGTTATAATGGTAATTGCTATGGACCTTAAGTTGATAAATTTTTTGGATTCGTGTTGAAAGTAGTTAATGATCAAATGTTGCCATAAATCACAAGAGTAGAAATTAAATTATTTTCATAAACTGCTGAAAATTGAGGTTGATCATTTTTTTGTAGCACATTTTACTGGAGTTTCAATTACTCTCTCTAGATTTTCTGTTGAAATGTTGAAGTTTGTGTATTTACAGGTACTATACATGTAAATGGGAAGTTACGCAAATGTTCCCAAATTGAAGAAAATTTTCTTTTTCATGAAGATAATATTCCATTATAATTTATATGACAGAGTTGATTACTAAACATTGTCATTATTATCAGTAAGGTCATTGTGACCGTCTGCTCATCCTGTAAACGTTCTGTGTCATATAGCATTTATTATCTCTTTGTTAAAAGCGTTTTTCAGTCCTGTTTCTCCAAATTGCCATGAATTTATTTTGATTTACTAGTGTTATTTTAAAGAGAATTATGTTACAAGATTTTTGAACAATGTTATTTTATAATAGTTTTTAAGCAGACAGTTGAAGATAACTTGGTGGTTATTGTTTTGAAATTAATGAATATTTAAATTTGCACTTGGTGCTGTTACATCATTTAAGACTGTATATAGATGAATTAGCAAGAATTTATATCTAATATCTGGTGGAACAGTATTGTGCATTAAAATATTGAAATCAATGTAACAAGGTCCAACCAATAAACGAATTGTAGTTTATGAATACATACATATATATTCTGTTGATTCTCAATGAACCTCAAAACATTGTCCAGATTTAGCTCTCTAAAACATTTTTCATTAAATTACTAGTAACTTTGTTATCACCAAGTGATTATAGAGACAGAGTGAATAATTTGTATTGAATATCTTTGATGTTCTGATGTTAACCACTAACCCTAGATTAACAGATTACACTTCCTCTACTTGACTCATCTCTAGACTAAAGTGGATTATCACCCGAGAGCCTCCCAGTGACATTTGAAAATTGTCTGTGAAATTGAACCATGTACAAACTGTGAAGAATAAAACCTGTTATTTGCTGTGTGAATTTGGAGTCTGGTTTATGTTTTAAAACATCCAGTCTTATAGTCATGATTCAAACATTATACTTTCTAATTGAAGAAAGGTGGGGGGGATTTACTTTGAAATTGGAACCAAAGAATTATCTGTTTATGTGGAATTTCTGCTGACAAGGCAGTAGAGCAATTAATCAAAAAAAATTAAGCAATTGAAATGAGGTGAAGCGGTGTTTTAGTTGGCTTTTGAAGGAAAGAAAGAACTATATTTTACAAGGATAACAACTTAGGTTCACAATTAAGGAACCATTCTTCCAGCTGGTCCTTGGAAAAAGCTTTTGGCATTGATCTTTCTGAGAATATCTGTACCCATTTCCACCACTAATTCAAGGTCAGAAGATTTTCACACACTGATTGAAATCAGAACTCACAGCCATCATTCATTTGACTTAACCAAGCAAATGATATCATATAAAGAACTAACGCTCTAAGTACATTGTTGAAGTTTTAAAGTTTGGTCATTGAATTAAGTAGTAAGGCATTTTCATCATTTGCCTCCAGTTACCCTTTGATGTTTGCTGAAATGTTATTACATTAAGATTGAAAGAAATGCACCAGCAGAACAGAAAAACCTTCATGAATAGATCAATGGTTCTATCCAGTTTATTCTTTATTTTTGCTTGTCAATGAGTTTTTTATGTAAATATTCATGATCCTCACAACAAAGATTGAGTATAAATTTAAGGAGCAAAATTGTAACAAGAGTTCAAGATTTTTTAATTTTTGAAATGTTTCAGGAAAGAAATCAAAGTCATATATCTAAGTTGTCATGAGTGTACTTAAAAACACCTCTTCACCCAGTGTTTCAAACTTGAAATATTTTTCTCACTAAAAGTGGTAATAAGTAAATAAAAAACATGTTTTAAAACATTCCTCAAACTTATCAAGTTAAAACCTAGGTTTTCATGACATTAATAACTATTTTTATTATGTATTTTAATGACATTCTTTATATTAGTTATATTTATGAGATTTTTTACCCTATTCTTTGCTATTGTTTCGGTCTGGTGTATTGAATTGTGTAAGAACTAGAACCGAAGACAAATTGTCTAGTTATGCTTGAAATATATTTGGATTAATTTGATCAATTGAATTCGAGTTCCAAATTTTCTTATTTGTGGTGTAACCTTGCCACTTGATGGTGTTCAAATTTGTCAATTTGTGAGAGATACTTTTTAAACTGCTGCAAGAAAATCATTTCAAAAATGTCAAGAACTAGCTTGAGTACTTCTTTGAATTTCCAGTATATGGTATTTGTTTGTCCACTAAAGTTTTGAATATCTGTTAAGCTTATACTTTGAAATGAACCCAGAATCAAAATTAACTTCTGCCCTTGTCTAATTTCAGTGTGATATAAAAGATGGATTTGGATTATAAGTGAGAGATTATGTGAGATATATTATAAGGTTACTGTGGTGTGTGATGATATTAGAGTACCATCATGCCTGACGGAATACCACAATGGAATTTAATACAACTAGTATTTATTAGTGTCTTTACATGTTATGTGTCTTTTATGCGTCTGCCTAATGGTAAGTAGAATTTCTATTTGTACACTAATGAATAGTGGATTTGCATTCATAACAAAAGAGTCTTAAACAAAACTGAAACTTGGTTTCCACTGTTAACAATTACATGAAAATTCTATTTCAATGGTAGCATACATTCCATTTCCTCTGTAAATGTATGTAGGATATTAATTCTTTCAATGTATATGTATCTTATATTAGGTGTATGCCAATACATTGACAGTAAATTGATAAAATGTACTTGAATTGAGTTTTGCTATTATTTAGACACACTACGAAAGAAAATCTATATTTGGCCTGTTAAGTACAGTGGCACTCTCTCTTACAATATGTTTCTGGTAATGACCTAAAATGGATTTTGTGCATTAAGTCTATTTAAGGTTGATGTATCAGAAATTCTAAATGGGTACATCTTAATGAATCTATTGATCTGAACTCTTCTTCTATTTTCAGGAGGTCTGGAAGTGGCATCTCAATTTCTCTTGCTCTTTGTCGTTTGTGTACCGGCATTGTTTATTCAGCTTAAATTAGGCGGCTATTTACAAAAGGGCATTGTGGGAGTTTTCAGTCTATATTTCCCAATATGGAAAGGTAATTTGAGTTTTTGTAAAGCAAGTCAGTATCGAACGCTGATCATTAATGAAGTTTGAATGACATACAAGTATTGTTGAGAAAATGAAGTCGGCCATATTGAGAAGTTGAAGTAGTATTTGTACTGGTAATGATAATGATGAGTTACATGCTTCACTGCCTTTCATAGTTGGTGATGGAACGTGAACTTCTTGTTGTAAAAGACTATGGCAACTAGGACACAGGATTTGACGTGTCTCATTTCACTTTTGCATCTCAATTTACTTTAAAATTTATGAAAATGGTGTCATGCTGTAACGATTGAATCTCCTTAGCAACAAGACCATATTTTCTCACTGAAGACTAATAACCCCCTTTAGTTCTAGTTACTTGTGTACATGAATGGCCTACTCACTTCAATTGTTCAATCTTGATCCTCGGAACTACTCAGGTAATCCATTTGATGAAATGAAAAATTGTCAAGCATAATCCGAAAACCAAATATATTTTTAGCATTCATTTTTGATTGTCATGTTAAATACTCCTTTTTTTTTATATTTTAGGAGTTGGAATAGCAGCTTTAATAGAATTGTTAATCAGGATAACTAACTATGCTCCTATTGTGGCCCAGTTTGGTACCTATGCCTTCATCTCGATCTCAGAAACACCCTATGTATGGGGTAGTTGTAGTAACATAAGAGATAATAGACTATGTTTTGAAGATAAAGGCACAGATCAGTAAGTATTAAGATAGTCAGCAGAATCATCCTAACCTAATAGTTTCTTTAATAGATGATACATGTAGTCTAACTCCACAGCTTGATGTAACAATATGAATATTGTTTAGTCACTTCTTTTTGTTTTCCTAATTCAAGACTACAGTAACCAGACATAAGAATTTCATTCTGAATTCCTTCACTATATCCCTTTCAGACAGTTGAGAATCTTTAGTTAGGATCTTTTTGATTTTTGTCCACTATTTCATCATAAACTGGATATCTTTACTGAATGCTGCACATAAAGGATCTATGGAAGAATCCTCCAAATTTTATAATCAGTAGAGAAAGTCATGTATTTCTCTCTTTTCTTGCTATTGATGTTAAGAAAAAATTGATTTAAATCTAGAAGTCTTGTAGGACGTAGAACACAATGACTGTTCTTCTCAGATTTCTATATAAGTACATAATAACCAGTTATTAGAATAAATTAAAGTAATTAATTGGATAATAAAGGTTATTATTGAATTCCTATAGTAGACAGATATACTGGGTTAAAATAGATTTAATATAACCCTGTTTAAACTTAATAAAGGGTGTGTTGATGACATTTATTTATGACCATTATCAGATGTACTATGAAACCTTACAACAATAAGAGTATTCAGTAAAAGGCTATTCCAAGCCATGTCTATAATATACGTTATTTTTAGCTTTGCATAAGAAGTAAAACAAAAAGGTTATGTTCTCTGTAATTGAAATATAGAAAAAAAGAATTGAGTACAATAAGAATTTTGTTACTGAAAAAATATTTTCTTCAATAATTGTCAACAAGAGCTACTGTATATTACTGGTAGCTGTAATAAACTGAAGATTTTGATATATATCGGTAGTCATCTAAATATTCGCTTTACCAGCTCAATTCACACTACCGTATATTTCCGAATATAATGTGCAAGCGTATATAGTCCGCCCCCCTTACTTACCCCATCAAAATCTGGAAAAATCCATTTATCCAAATATAATGTGCACCCCTTGTGCACATGAAAAATTTGAGGTTGGAGATGGCATAACGCAGACATCAAGGCATATTCCACATATCACCTTACTTAGACTAACATGAAAATTGTGTACAATATTTCTTTAATGCAGGCCTTATTTTACTATTTATAATCTTTAAATTCATTTTGAACTTAACCATCATTTGTTATTTGTTTCCTGTGACAATGAGCCAAGTTGACAAGCTATCTGTTGCTTTTCTTTAGATAAAAATATGATTTTTTGTTCTCAATTTTAACTTATTATGGAAGTCATCACTTCTAAATTTTTTCTATTTTCAAAATTGGTAGAAATTTGCAAAGTTATTTTACTGTCTTTGATGTTTTTCAGGTTTGAAACACGATATTTTGAAGCTCAGAGACCAGAAGAACTATTTTATAAGTAAGTTGACTATACATATATATATATGATTTGTTTTGAGCTAAAAAAGATTTCACATCCCACTTATCTATTATTATGGCAATAGCATGTTATGATGTTCTGTTCTGGGTATGGTTCTATATTAATTGTAAATTCCAGTAAAATATTATACCAATGCATGAAAATAAATGTAAGAATTTCCTCATAAACGATGGTAAATCTTAAACAGAAAAGAACATTTGAGACATTTTTTTTGTGTTATCTTATCAATGTACCAAAATTAATTGAGTTACCTCTGTGTTCAGTGTTGAAGGATGAAAAAAAAAAGAAATTTCTATATATATTCAAATTAGATGTTAAATCAGTAGGTCACCGTGACCTGTTGAATCATCAGCTGTCATTGGAACAATTTAACTAATGCATTTGATAAATCTAATGATATAAAAAAAAAAACTATTAAATATCACAGGAAGCTGTTTTTATCAACTGTCATTAACAATGATTGACAGCCATATAAGTTTTTAAAATAATTTCGTTCTATACACATACATAGTGAGCAAGCAAGAATGGTTGCTAGGGCATCTTTGGAATACTTGAATAGAGTACAGATATGCCATTATGCTGACAGTTGGCTGTCGTGATGTCTGGATGTTTCATGGTTTGATATTACTGACAATAGACTATGAAATTGTTTTTGCCTTTAAGGGAAAATGGATTTGAATTCCAAGCCATGTTACTTTGATGAAATCCCAATTGTAGGTACAGGTCCTAAATGTCCTGACTATACTTCAGCCATAGAACTATATTATAGTTATACTGCAGCAGATATGATCAGAGGGTAGACTATGTAAGGGTTGACATGTTTTAGACTACTGAGTAAAAGTAGCCATATTGCTATCCCACTGTGGAGAAGTTGTTCATTACCAGATTGTTTATTGTTTTTAGAATATAATTCTTCAGTAAAACCAAGAAAGAGAAATCCTGTCTGAAATGTTTATATTTCTATCAGTCAATCACTTAAATATGTTTAGTATTTGAAATTTATAAATTAGCTTAATTGAGGTTTGAAATTGATTTTGAATAAGTTCCAAAGATATATAGAACGAAATCTTCACAGGAAGGGCATCTGACATTTTGAGCTATTCAATTGAGGAAGCCACAATGCTGTTAATAGGATTCAACTATAGTTGAATGAAAGACAAAGTTGAAAGTGATTCTTATTATTTTGTAGAAATGAGTTTCTACAGAAGTCTGGTGGAATAAATCATTTAGATGGTTTCCCACAATGGCAGTTTACAGAAATAGCAAGAAAAGCTGAAGTGTCGTTGATGCCTGTGACGTTAGCTATTGTATGGGTGATTGTGTTTCTATTAGTAGGATTTGGTGCTCGTGTTTGTGGATGGGTAAGAAATATATTTGTTATTTTTTCATCATGGTTGTTTATTTGACTTGACTATGTTCTGTAGATTTTAGAAATTCCAAACCAGACATTTGAACACCTATTTTAAGATCTTGTACCAATTTCAATTTTGAATGCATGAAAGATCCAGATAATTCTACATAGAAAATGTCCTAAAGATCATTTCAGAGCTCCAATCAGACATGACTGGCAAACTGGTGGTTTCTTTTCAGGTCCGTTTGCTATTTTAAGCCTATTTAATAACAATATGTTAAAGGGATAAACTAAACTTGTATTGAACATTGTTGTTAAAGATTGGAATGGAAAAATGTGGGGCTATTTTTCAGGAAAATGGAGGTTAAATATCCTTAAATCACTTACGTAGATCAAACTGAATGGTATAAATCTCATTATTTTAGGTATTATTTTTACTGGGACCAGCAGCTCTATCATGTTTATTAGCTGTGTTAGGTTATGGTTTTGCTCATCTACCAATAGAACATACTATAGAATTTCTACGACAACGTTATGTTTTTACACAAAATAATGGACTAATTGAGGTAACAACTATTTAAGACCCTCATTCAGATAGATTGAAATAAATGATATTCGATTGATCTGAAACTTGCTGGCTTTTCTGAATTGTGGTTCCATTCTGCTCTAATTTAGAAGCAGATGAAAACATTTTTTAGACTTCCCTCCTTTAACAGTTAGATTTGATAAAATTGTGCTCTGAATTAGTTTTGAAAATATTGTCTGTCTCGTCCAAGTCTAGAATTCTTAAAGGGCAATGGGGTCTCAACTGCTTGGTATAAAATTTTATTAACCATGTCGAATTGTCTCGTTTTCTTTATCAACTTGATATAAATATTTTGTAGACATTTATCAGTGGATTTCAATCGTTGATGTATGCTATGCCTGTATGGACTGCTATAGCTACTACTATAGGTAAATTATGTGGTCGTGGAAGAACAACCAGAAATGTGTAAGTAGACTACCATAAATTTATATTTTTTCTTATAATATAATATCAGTTTCTTGAAATTGGCAGATATGTTACCTTTAATAATTCCAGGTAACGTTTAATCAGATATGATGTCTAAATAATTGCTTGACAAAGCTCAATTTCAGCTATCCATATCCCTTTTCAGCATTAAAATCTGTAGTCTAGTTCTCCTACAAATATGTACCACAATTCATACTGTTCTCACTTCAAGGGCCTTATGAGTAATCTCATATGCAGATATTAGTTGCATTTATTACTAGATTTATTATGTTATCACTGTATTTGTGAATGTTAATTAAGATAAAAATGATGTCCACCTAAATCTTGTCCAGTACTGCCTTGTTTGGATTTTGATTCCCAATATGACTGTGGAAAATTGAATCAGTTTGAAACAAAACAACAAACATTTAGACCACAATATCCCTTTTGCATCAAATTTAAAAAATAAAAGTATAAATATGTTTATTATTCGACTCTAATGAAATATATCAAGTTGAATTGTTATGGTTGTGTTCTATTACAGTTCCTGGTTAGCACTAGTGTTGATATTTGCCCTGGTCTCACAGATTCCACCAATAGCTATGTCACCGTATCTAGGAAGTATGATATTTGATAAACAAAGTCCTGGTTTTGATGGTGAGTCCATTCAATACTATATCTTTTGTTGTCTTGTTTAAATTACTTTCTGCTTTGGGTTATTGTCATGAATTCAATGACTTAATAATACAATTCTACAAATAATAGAATGCAATATTTGTTTTTCTGAGACATTATATCTAGAAAAGTATTACAATTGTAGCATGTTGTTATATTTTGTCTATAGTATGTCTAAGACAAGTGATAATATTATGTGTCAGACAAGTGACAATGACAATATTATTTCCAAGACAAGTGAAAATCTGATCTGATCTCTACAAATGAAATGAATTTAGTTTTGCTTCAATTTTTCTGTACCTGAAAGAGCTATGTCAGCTGCATTGGCCTACTCTTTTTCAATTTCCAACTGTAGCGAATCGGGCCTTGGTTCATTGTCCCATCCACACAGCTAGAAGCTTTTTTCAGGTCAGTCCTATTACGGACAGGGGAAAAGACAAGTTGAAAAATCTGTAGGTATTATCTCCTAATATGATTGGATTGAACCCAAGACTGTGGCTCTTCTGATCACTGCTCAGACTATAGAGGCTCACTACTATCAATATTCTACTGATTTATTCCACAAACTTTCCACTAGCTCAAACTAGCTCTGAGTATGATTATTTGTGTACTGGTATTTTATATACAATGATTTAAATTATCTTTCCAGAATTTAATGGACCAAGTGTTATTTTATGGCAGATGCCTGCAGCATTTACAGCACTTCAAATTCCTCAACCATATTCATTCCTTTTCTTATTATCAGCTTTTATATTTGGTCTTATGTATTTGGTAAGTTATTATATTTTCCAATTTATTAATATATTTTAGACTAGTTTGTGTGGTTCAAACAGCAAATATCTATGTGTTTCATTACTGTTTCATGCTGTAGGCTCTAGTCTGGCTCAAAAAGTTTCTCATACCTAATCTATTGCCCACTAGCTGCAAGGCGCGAATGAGATATAACACCTCCATAGTGTTAAACAAGGAATTTCTGTCATTACATTTAATATTTTGGCATTGGCCTTGAACCATTCCTTGTGTACAGCATTATATAGGCCAACAATCATATGTTAATGTGGATTTTAAATTCATGATTTTGATGCCATCAATGCTGGATTTGAGATTTGAGTATTAGTGCACAATTTCCATTTTCATTGTTAGTATCATACCTGATTTGAAATATTTCTATATTCTTTTTCAAAATTTACATAACATTAAATCTGTTCTTTTTTCCCCATGATTGTAGCCTACATGATAAATTTGAAATGATTGTTTTGTATATATTTAACGATATTTTATATATTACAGTGTATAGGATGTTTAACTATAGTTGATAATATTATGGATTCATTAGAAGAATGGGTTGATAGAAAGTCATGTAGTAAAATAGCTATTCATCTTCTCATGTCATTTGTTGTTATGTGTATTGCTAAAGGATTGGGAATCTTACAGACCACTAGAGTGAGTACATATATTAAATTATGTGAATAATAAGTAAGGTTTGGGCAGTTTTAAATTTTATCAATGAAAAATGTTATGCACAACTTTAGCCAATGATAGTCTACATAAAAGATTCCTTGACAGTTATAAATGAAAAATATTGGGCAAAGTTCTGTTCCGTCTGCCAATATCACTCCCCATCCATGATAAAGCCAGTTTCACAAGGAGAAACAGAAATGTGGAACATAGAACTGTGATATTTTAATTTAAACTATGTTGACTGTTGAAATGTAATAAATGTTGTTATCGTTCTGTTGCAGGCTGGTTATTATTATTTTGGTTTGATAGATCAATCTATAACAAGACTACAGTTTATATTAGTTATATTACTGGCGTTTGGTCTAGTGGTTGTTTATTGTAAGTATACATTTCAAAACAAGGATTCTTGTAATCTGTCCTCACTTTCTATGTCTGATAATTTCACACCAGACCTGCAGATGTTTGATATATCACACCAGAACTACAGATGTCTGATATTGTCACACCAGAACTGCAGATGTCTGATATATCACACCAGAACTACAGATGTCTGATATTGTCACACCAGACCTGCAGATGCCTGATATATCACACCAGAACTACAGATGTCTGATATATCACACCAGAACTACAGATGTCTGATATTGTCACACCAGAACTGCAGATGTCTGATATATCACACCAGAGCTACAGATGTCTGATATGTCACACCAGAACTACAGATGTCTGATATGTCACACCAGAGCTATTGATGTCTGATATGTCACACCAGAACTACAGATGTCTGATATATCACACCAGAGCTACAGATGTCTGATATGTCACACCAGAACTACAGATGTCTGATATATCACACCAGAACTGCATATGTCTGATATATCACACCAGAACTACAAATGTCTGATATATCACACCAGAACTACAGATGTCTGATATATCACATCACATGATATATGTCTGACTTTAAAAGTATACAATAATGACAATATGTTCTGCAGATTCCTAAAGGGGAGACCACCCTCACACCTAAATTTTCAAACTATAATTAAACAATATGACATTTAATATGATAATAATATGTCTATTGTTGATAGCAAGAGGAATTAAGGTTTAAATTGAAATAAGTGTCATTTAATTTTTTTCTACAGTGAAACAGAACTTTGCCTTAGCAGAACGTATTATAATGGCTCTATGGGTATGTGTAGCTGCTACTATAACAGCTGTAAGTATAGTATTAGTTTTTAATCTGATCTAATAGGGCAAAGAACTTAAAATGTATATCTTAAACTGACCTTTGGTGCAAGTAGCTGCATTTACCGATATCAACATCATTTTAACCTTCTTAATCACATCAGATTATAAGTTGTAACCCCTATTCTAAAATATGATGGATTTAAAGGTGTCTTAGCTCTGCCTTAAACTTCCTTATCTAAAGTAAAATAAATGGAGAGGCAAAGCTAACAGCTATCTATCTAGCTAGCAAAACCACAGTAGGGTTAACGTGTACAAATTTAATTTAATGCCTTCTGTTTGTTACAGGGCTGGTGGCATTATATGTTTTTGAAGAGTAAAGATTTACCTATTAAACTAGTTGATTATACTTTCCCTGATGAATGGAACTATGTTGGTTGGGGTATAGCAGCCTTCCCCTATATTGGTGTATTTATAGGAGCAATACATGCTATGTGTACTGCTAAAGGTTCTTGTTCACAGGTATGTTTACTTCTATCATTGATCACATTTTGAAATTTTGGTATGTGATACCATCAGTTTGATGTGGTCTGATTCAACTATATCTAAACTATGGGATAACGTTACAATGCTCTCTGACTACTTTAAGATAATAACAGGTCATTCCAAGTCAATTTGTGCCAAAGTAATCTAATTGTTGGCTTTAAAATCTGCAAAACAAGATACCCATGTACTTTTCATATTGAATATATTATCAATAAAGATGAATATCAGTTCATCTACAGTTAAAAATTTATGTTCGGAAAGAAGTGATAAGGGATGAATTTCAAAGACTGTTTTTACACATTCAATAGGTATTAGAAAATATGGATGACCTCATGTATGACATCATTGATCATTTAAAATCATTTTTAATTCTGAAATCCTAAAGGCTCTGTCAACTTTCAATCAGCTGCTAAAGTGAATAAAATATAAATCGGGGGTTTTTATTTCAGAAATTATCCAAATGTTTTTGTGGTATCACTGAAAGAGTTAGAGAACATGAACATGATGTTAATGGTTACCATCATCCACCTCCACCCTTGCCAGAACCCAGCGCACCACCCTACACCTACATGGAACAAGCTTATCCTATGGATGACATGATGTATAAAATGGATTATGATTCAGCAGAAACTGAACCTCTCACGCCCACAGGAACTAGAATCTAATTTCATCTTTTGGTTTTTATTCACCACAATTGCAGCATTCAATTTTTTATAACTGTTAAAGATTTTAGTGGTATTGTTATGTATTTTGCTGCCTTAGAAAGTGACAGTTTTTTTGAGGTTGTTTTTAAGACATAATGTGCAATGATGGACTAAAACAGCTGTTTTGTTTAAGTGATTAAATGTTAATGAGGTTTGTTTATTTTTTGGAGAAGGACTTCAATAAAACAAGTTGGAATAGAGTTCAGAACGCGCTCCTTGTGTGCCAAAAAAAGTAGGTACTGACAGAATTCAAAATGGCGGAACAATTTTGAATGTGACATACTATGGTTTGGTAGTGTTTGATTGAAGCCATAATTGAAACAAACAGAACCTGTTCTGAACTCATCAGTGTTTGCAACGCAGGTGTTGCAGAAGACAACAAGGAAGGGAGGTAACTCTCTGTTTGATGTGAATTACAAAATGATGAACTTGGACACTGTACAAAACCAAAAGAAGTCTACATGTACTTAGCAAGACTTCATGGCTTCATTTGGATTTCTACCATTGAAATCCTGGTTTATAAATAAAACTGCCCGATGTGAATTAGTGAAAATTATCAGAAAAAAATGTGTTTTTTAAGAAGATTATGGATATCATGAGATCTGCTATAAAAATGGGAGATAATCAATCAGATCAAAATGGTTCATGTATTTAAAGACTGGAATATAAAATCATAAAATTAATTTTTTAAAATCAGTTGAAAATAAATTAATGGGATAAATTGGTTTATAATTTCATTCAATATCCACTTACATTTTCAACGAAAAATCACCATCATGTAACTTAATAATACCAACATAAATTTTTAATGCTCTTATATCTCATATCTGTGAGAGGTCACACATTCTTTTTTTTTATTGTTGAACAATAACACTTACTGCTCAATAATCTAGTTTTTTTTAATTCACTGATTTTGTGCATCTTTTTAAAGTAGCTTCATATGTATTTTAAGCTAATGCAAAGTAAAATGGACATATTTTCGCTGTTTTGATTTTTATATAAAAATTATATTATTTGCTTGTCTTTATCTGTGTTTTATCTAAACTAATTAAGATTTTTTCCAAATTTGGTGGATAAAATTTTTGAATATTGCTGTGTATATTTATACATGACGTTTCTATCATAAGTTTGTAAAAATCATATGTACCTGAATGATAAATTATGAGTATTCTTTCTGTTAACTAAGATATGGTGGTCCCATGCATCCATATGCAGTAACGTTGGTTCAAATATTTTGTCTGCAAAGAAAATTTCAGTTCATCTACCTTTCTAATGCAGATACATGTATTCTACTTTCTATTATATTGAAGAATTCACCTAATAGTTGACCTGAGGTGAATCACAATTGCTAATATTTGGTCAAGTTAAGATATAACGTTTTCGATCTGTGACAGATCTGACGAGATGCTTTAAGGCACCAACCCACCTTAACAGATGAACCTCTACACATATAGAGCAACACAAGACACAGAAAAATGTTTTTGATAACTAATAAGCCACTGTCAGTATTCTGATGTCAATTGAAGAAATCGGCATATATTTCTGAATGGTTAATAATAGGTAGTCTGCAATAATTTCTTCAACAATAATGTTGTTTTTGACAATTATTGCAGGTTTATTCCTTGATTATTGAAATCAGTATACAAGATATTTTAAACCAAACATTTGTTATTTAAATGTTCATAATGATTATTGATGATGCTTTGCATGTAAAGTGAAAACTGAAAATTAACGCTTGGCAATTTAAAACCATTAAAAAAAATCAAAATCTTATGTTTACCTAATTTGGTTGCTTTTGGGGGCTGAATTGTTAATATTTGTATATAAATCAACCAATTTTTGCATGTGTATTACTGTATTATATTTTTATAAAATCATTTTTCAGTGCAATAGATGACACAAAAGTAGTCATATAGTTTTAGCTTTTTCTCTTATGGTATCTTTTTTCTTTTTTAATTGTACAGGGATTTAGAGTCAGCTCAGATTTAAGATGCATTCCAACCACAAAATTTATAGGACAAGTTTAGATTAGTTACATCTCAAAGTACTGCTCAGATAGTTTTCATAGTTAAATACCACGTACCATGTACATGTATTATATTGTAACCAACATCATATTATATATTTCAGCATATTCAAAGCATACCAAATGCCATATTGAGTAAATTGCTTGCAATATGATTGATAGCCTAAACAGAAATGATTAGCAAATTCAGATTACAATTTTTTTTTTTTTGTATAGTAATATCAGAAAAGCACTTATGTCACCATTAAAATTTGTATTATGTGAAATGATCTTGTAAATAGATATTCATAAGTATCTGCAATATTAACGTTTTGAATATTCAGGCTAAAATTTGAATTGCTTGAATAATATTGCTTTGGTGACATCATAATCTGGTAAAATTTGTCTGTAATAATAGGAACAGTACATATTGGACTGGAAATTAGAATGGTGCAAATGGCTTTATACAAAGGCTAAAAAACCTCTTTTGAACCCCTTAATGTTTCCAGATTTGTTCCTCTTAACAATTTCTTTCTTTGATGTTTTCTAACTTGCAGCAATTTTGTACATGTATCTGTATTTTGGATGTTACACATTCATGCATGATTATTTTTTCTATGGTGTACATTATACAATCATTGAGTGAATTGGTGATAAGGTTTCTTTATGATGTTCATAGTGGATTATGTATAATATCTGTAGGTAGAAATTAGTGATGGATACTAGTTTTTGATATTCTGATGATTGAAATATTGAAAACGTGATTGCATATATATTTTTCTACAGGTAGGCATGTCAATAGTTGTCATTTTTTTGGCACAAAGTTTGTTTTAGTTTGATAAATATCTCGAGAATCATAGCCTCACATGAATTTAATATTTTCATTTGGGATTGTAAAGTGGTTTTGTAATAGCATCAGTTTGCATCATTCCAATATTCAATAACTTTAGTGTTTGATGACTAAGCTAATTGCAAAATATGCTTGTATCCCCTATGCATTAAACACTTAGTTTAGTGGAATTGCAGGAACCACAGATGTCTAGAAAATTGGAATTTTGATGTTATCAGTGTCCCCACATGAAAAATTTAGAAAACCTCTTTACAATCTCATTAAACTATATATTTGAATGTTATTCACATATCAACCTGTAGAAGGATATCAATACAAGTCCAAAGTTCTGTCAATTACTGTACCCTATAAAGTCATACAAAGGTCTTCAATATAAATTGTTTACTCTTGAACTAGGTCAATTCTATTATAAACTAGGAAAATGATTTGAAAGATACTATAATGTTCCATTAAAGAAAGATTTTGCATGTATATTGATAATGTGATGTTTGTAAAATACTTGAGTGAATTACTGCACTTGTACTTGAAAAGCTTGCCAGAAATGAACGGAAAGAAATCATACAATGCACCATGTATTTATGAAATCATCTCTTAAATAAAGTTAGAAAGGAAATGCTAAAATTGTTTTCTTATTGAAAGACTTATTTTGAAGCCCACATGAGAAAATTATCACTTGTAACAGTTCATTAAATAATTTGTTATGAGAAGAAGTATTTGTGGTCTTAAACCAATCAAGAATATCGAGTAGTCCCCCTTGGATCATATTAATTCCAGATCTGCTGCTTCAATCAGTTCCATGGTCTTCTTAATGCTAGTGGTTACTTATGCTATAAATGATTTCAAAAGAGTCCTATGCTTACTTAATTCTACAAGTAAGTCTTTTGATATTTAAAATTGCAGTTTGATAGATCCACTATTCATTCTGAGACTAATGGCAATGGCTATGTAATAGGGCATAACTATTTTTTTTTTTTGTTATTACAATGTTGAGAGTTGTTACATCACAGATCTGAAATGAACTTTTTAAGATAAATCTCGGTTTCTATGGTCCTTACTGGACTACTGGAATTGCAAATGTTATGTTTTGTAATAACAGGATAAGCCTTCCTTGTTTTATAAATGACACAACTGTTCTTTTACGATCTTTGGGCTGATGGTTGCACATTATTTGTCTCATAAAGGTACAGTGGTCTAACCTATTTTCGTGGATATAAGGATTCAACACCGAATTTCGTCAAAGTTAAAAAAACGAAATTTTTTTTTATGTCTAAGATATTTCCTCAGATATTCTACAAAATAATTAAAATTGGTTTATTTCGATTTTCTTTATGAATTCTTCACTTTGACCCATATTTCATGAGCAACCAACTCGGCAACGGCGGCAGAATGTGTCACCTATTTTCGTGTACAATGTTTGAACTATAAATAAGTCTAGAAAAACACGTTGTATGGATACCGGGTGGTATAATTAACTTCTCTTAGTATTTATCTTTAATATCAATTCATTATAACTAGTGACAATTCCTTCAAAGAACCACGATTTAAAAAAAAAATAGTGACTGACAAAATAAGACGTAGCGTGATTTATTGCTAAAAGTCACTGAAACAACATAAGAATATGGTCCACTTTGTGTTCCATAGAAATTTTCTGCTGACACGGAATCCGCTAGTTGATCACTTGACTTCATTCGTTGGACTACATTCTAGCAGACGACACTTGGAATTCCGATTACGGCGAGGGATTATAAGGAAATTCGGCCAATAAAAAATGGTGATGTTTGGTAATAACTGAAATCCTCCATTTTGTATTTGTCAAAGTATACATTGATACATTTTACCTTGCTTGAAACTATTGGATTCATTCTACAAGCTGATATTGTAGAGAAAACCCATGTTTATTAAAACAAACTAATGTGGAGGTCGCGCAAGGTCGCTCATGTAAATTATTAATCCTTTCCGGAAATGCACGAATAATAGGTTTCCACGAAATTAGGTTACTCGACTGTACATCTAGGTTTGCATACAGTAAGGTTCATAAAGGTACATCTGGATTTGTGCATTACATGGCTCACTACAGTACATCTGGATGAGTTTCACATTACTGGTCTCATAAAGCTATTTATTATGTTGCACTTTACTGGGCTGGTCTTATAAAGCTACCTCTTGGTATGTCTCATTTTACTTGGCCTTTAAAGGTACATCTTCTTCAATTGCAACTCTAACTTTCCTGCATTTTATTTGGCTTACAGAAACAATGCAGTGAGAACATGTTTGTCAGGATTTGACCATTTCCAATTAGAGGTGAGATCTACTACAGTTTAAGTAAAGAAAAAAGAAATTTTGCGTAATGCATTTATTTTGGAAAGAGTAAATAATTGATAATTTGTAAAGATCTGCAGATATCTTTTATAAATTTATACAAGCTTTCCCCAATGGCCAGCATATATTGTGTGGGGATTAAATATATAATGTTATGCTGGTATCTATATTCTATATTTATATATAATAATAAAGAGGTAAAATAATTTAATCTTATGCTCATATCTCTAACGATATTCAATGCGATGGAAACTTTAAACTCTCAGAAAACACTCAAATCATTCTGTGACCACAATTGATAAAATTTTTGGAGACTTTCTTGTGACAAATCTAGAAAACGCAACTACGTTAGTACAGATAATTTCACAACATTGAACTTTCTAATATATCTTTCTTTACAAATATATTCAACTGAACTATGGGACTGACATCAAAATTACACGCCATGGGTTGGGAGATAATACCCTAATTCTTAATATAGAACATAAATAATGGTTTAAAGACAATATTTATGGTATAAAAATAAATATAAATTTTCTTTGGAAACAATAATTTTGTTCATATTCAATCAAATTATTTCTTAGTAGAAAATAATTTGAGGTTGTCACAAGAAAGTCTGTTTGTCTACAACTTGTCCTTTAAAATCTAACATCTGACATTTATAAAGGGGGGTGATTAGAATTGAAAACAGAATTACGATAACACCACAACATTAAAGTGAATGTACTTTACAATGTATGTGTTTTATACTTGAATAATAATGATAAAATCACACCTTTGGAAAGAAAAATGTACATCTAATTTGACATGGAGTCATTTTGTTTGAAAAAATAGGCTCTTATAAAAATAGATCTTGTCTTTTGATTCAAATATTTGGGCATAAATAAATTAAATCTCTCTCGCTCTCACATTTATCTTGTATTCAATTTGTCTAAGATAGATATTTTTGTTAAAGTTATTCACCAATATATACATATTCACACATATCTCGTTTTGTTTCCCACGCATCAAACATCGCCGAGGTGCAAGGTTTTCATCAAAAAGTTTCGAACTTTCCATGTCCCAAAGATTTCAAATAAAAGCGTTTGTTGATCTACATGTCAAATGTATCCTGGTTGATCTGCATGTCAAATATATTTTTAAAATTGGTATTTTAAAAGTGATGGGTGTCAGTGTCAAAATTTACTTCCCCCTTTCCAGAATGAAATTTTTGAATTTAAAAATTAAAGAATGAGCGTTTTTGATGAGAACCCCCATACAAAAAAATAATATTATACATCAATCATGTTCATTTATGCAAATGACAAGTTTATATTGAGCATTGAAGGTTGTTTTTCACCTGTTAAATATATGATAATTTGGAAAGGATTTCTAAATCTACGGCTAAAATATGTGCAAATGCTAAATGGGTAAGTGCATAATATACTACAGTGCACTAAAAGCTAAAACTAAGTGCTAAATATCTTTTAAAAAAAATCATCAGGAAAAAAATTAATAAATAAATAAATTGATAATACTAACATCTCACAATGTTGAGCACAATGATATAGTTGACAAAAATAATAATGTACTCAAAATTGTGACCTCTGAGACAAGGATCAATTTTAGGTTTTTGACTTAGATTGACTGGAGCTAGATATCTGTGTTAAACAGTTCTACTCCAGTCATGTCCAGTCAAATGAGATTACAATCCTCCCTATATGATATGATATGGTCAAATACACACATGGATATTGCACAAATGTGTCCGCAATAAATAGCAAAAAAACAATAATAATAAAAATACAAGTTTAACATGACTAGAAAAGACCATTTTCTGTCCTTTTCAAACAAGGTAGTGACTAAAATTGAGTGAAGTAACATAACAGTAAAAAAAAAAGGTAGAAAATTTGGTTAATTGTTTTTCTTTTAAGACCTTAAGACAATATCTAAAAACAAAACCAAGTCGAAAAAAATTGAAGGTTTGGTTTGATTGTTACTCAATTTAAAATAAAACAACCAATTTTACGATAGGTGTCGCAAGGATAAAAACATTAGATTAACATTTGAAAAGTCAATTGCACCATTTGTTGTTTTGTAAGGATTATTTCGTAGCACTTATCAATTACAAAGAATGGATTTCAATAAAATATTTTACATAAAAAAAGAGGAAAAAATGTTCTATAACAAGCAATTTGTTCAGAATTTAACATGGATACTATATCTCAAAATATATAACGCAATAATTTAAAAACCTGTTATTCATTTTAAAAATTAAACAAATTTTAACTAAGAGGTAGCTTATGTCAAAAGCTTTAATAGGTTCACTAAAACAAAAACAGCCTTAAAAATATCCAGTTATTCCAGTTGAAATAAAACAAAGAACTTTCCCAGACTTAAAACTGATTTATAATCATTTCTAATTTTTTGACAATTTCATCACTTCCAAATACGTTTTAAACTAATTTTTCACTTTGTCATATGAATCAGAAATGACCAAAAATCATAATGATATGGGTTGATTAACATGAAATTTTGAAAGATTTTGGTTATATCTATCTAACAATGTCACAAAAAAATATCAAATTCAATTTGTCAAAATAAATAGCTATATATATAAAATAATAAATTAAAACATTTTATATTACAAAGGATATAGCAAAATCCATTTTTTGAAGTCAATTTCATAAGATCAAAACCACTTTTTGAACAATTTTTTTTAAAAGTACCGTGTTCCTATGAATTTGACTTCTTTTACAACCAATAATATGATAGATTAAAAAAAAAACCTGTTCAAACATCGCTAAAATTTTCAAATTTCAAAACATTTGTAAGAATAAATCTCATTCCAGTTTCCAAAATTTTTGTTAACTTTAATCTGCAAACAAAATTCAACTAATTTAAAAATCTAATCAACAAATTCTCAAAATTCATTTTAAATATAATACATCATATATTAACAAAGTGATCAAAAGATGATCATAAAAAATCAAGCTGAGAAAAATGCTAAAAGCAAAAGTTATGTAACAATTGAAATTTATTTCAAATTTGAGTTTCATTTTATTTTAGTATTGAAATTGAGGTATGAAAAATATTCCAGAATTCATAAAGAATTTTTAATACTCAAACTTCTAAGAATGAAGGAAATCACAAATAGAAATATTTTCAAATCAAATCAATGTTAAATGAAATAAAATCAAATTATTTATTTTGATTAACCATATTTTTTTTTTAATGTGAGAATGGCTCGGGAATGATTCAATGAAAATATAAGTTAAAAAAGTTTGATTTACAAGTTCAGATTTCTACCAAAATATGATGAATTTAGTTCAAGAGTCTGTTTGTTAATTACATTAAAAACTTCAATTTCTAATAGGCGGCATGCAGTTGTCATGGTAACTCTCTAAAAATTATGAAATATTACCAAAAGAAATAAAAGAGTAATATATTATATACTGTTAACTGAGCATGGGTGTTAGAATTTTTTTAAGAAACAAACTATACAATTATTCAAAGTTTCTTGGAATGTTGAAAAACAAATTGTAAAATAAAGTCTCTATCTCTCGATTTTTTTGGCTATTTTTTTGTACAATCTTCATCTCAAGCAATATTTTTATAATTAATGAAAAATAAACTTGTTAATGCATGCATGAAGCCATTTAGAAATTTGAAATCATGAATCATACATTAATGAAACTGACTATATTAAATATGAACAAGATTATAGTCAGTTTCAATTTATATAACTAAAATATATTATTTCATAATTTAAAAATGTTTTTTTTTTTAATTAAGTTGACTAATATGTTCAAGTACTATAATACAAGATTGAATACAAAGCCTTTAATGTCTTGTGACCTTATTCTAAGATAGGATCTTCCTACTAATGTCATTTCTTCTTCTATCGATCCCATTCATTCATCGTCGTGTCATTCCAACTTATAACAAGTAAATATAAATAAGTATCCAATTTTTGGCATTATTGTGTTCCATGGGAACTCTGAAAAACAAAAAGAAAGAGAAAAAAGGACATTAGTATTGATGGCATCATCTCAAGAATTCCATAAAACATTAATATATCTTCATTAATTTTGTCAATCTGGTTTCTATTCTTAGACCACGCCCTTAAATTAACACATTACATGTCTTCTATCACAGAACTCCTATCCTATTATCTTGATAAATTACTTTTAAAATATGCAAGAAATGACTTCAAAGGAGTTGCCATGGAAACCTGTTGGGTACATAATGAAATTAGACAAAAAGCTGATCTGATTTGAAATGGGAGATAGAAATATAATAGTAAGTGAGGGTTTGGAGACACATCTAAATTCTGGTGAATAATATATAATAGATATAGGAAATAAGCATGACGGTTAATATAGGTATATACATGTATATAATAATAACTGGCCTCCCCATAATTAGCAATAATAAAGCTAGTTCAAATATGGACAAATAATGTAAAAAAAATAATAATAAAATAAATAATGTAAATAAATAAGACACCATATTTACTTGGTAACCACCTACATATAATATAAAAAAACAAACAACAATTTGTAAGTAACTGATTGTGTTATAGAACCAAAAAGCAGAACAATACTATTACGATCAAAAACCTCTCAAATGTTACGAATTTGCCAAAACCACCGTGTGACAACATTTAGATCACCCACTTACGCCAACATGGAGCTGCCTATCTTGAGTTGCTTTAGGGAGCAACGGAGATCTCTTGATATGATTTTAGAGAGGACTTTGTTGAGGTCTACAGAACCAGTTTGTAAAAGAAAGAGGCAATATGTCAGATGTTTTATAAGAGTATAGGAAAGAAAATTGGACTTTTTCAGCTGGTATATGGAAATTTGAATTTCATGGGAATCCTGTAAATTTTCAAGAGCAATCTTTTTGATCAACTTGTAAAACTAAACTAAAAGAGCAACTGATAACTAGTTAATAATAAATATAAAATAGGGGGAGGTTTGAAGCTATATATTGGAGGTCATGCATAAAGTATCGTATAAAACTGATGAAAAATACTTCCAAAACTCGAAAATATCAGCACTGGAGAACTTAAACTTAATTGTGCTCCGAATATTGTGGTAAACTTTGGCAAAATATGGGTAAAATTGAACGTAACTTGTGCTCCAAGGAAACTGACAATGTGATTTCGCTTAGAAAAAATCCTTCATTTTATTATCAATGTACACTTACCATCTAACATCTAATATGGTCTATTTAAATCCTTTGGTCGTTTGAGTTGTACTTTGAGTCGTTTCATACCAATCTGGAAACCATTCATTGCCTGGATGGCTGAATGGGCACTGGCTGGATTGTCAAAACTTACAAAACCTATAAAAGTAATGTATATTGTTGATCACAAGTATAACTTTATATTTTATAGTTATACTCCATTGTATATAAAAAAAAAAACAATTATAAATGTCTGACAGACTCAATATAACTTGCACAACATCAAAGTTATGATAGATCATTTCAAAAAAAACATTTGCAGATCAATTCAAAAGCATTTGTACATGGCTTAGGTTATGATAACACCTTCACTAAATTTGACTTACCAAAGCATTTACTCTGATTAGTAGCTCTATCCACATATACTTTGGCGCTAATGACTGAACCAAAAGGCATGAACATCTGAGCAAGTTCTGCATCCCCAAATTCTTGAGGAAGATGATAAATAAATAAGTTGCAACCTTCTGGTCCTGAAAAAAAAATATATACAAAAAAATAAACAAAATGATTTAAGATGACAGTGATGATGTAAACATAAAAACATTCAACATATAACAGTTAGATACAGGCTGCTGTGAATTTACTTTGTAAAATATACATATGTATACATTGTAAATATTAAATATACAACAAATTTGTACAACATGGATACAACAAAATTTACAACATATTTTTATTGCTTATTAGCTCTAAAACTCAAGATTATCTAAGCCTATCAAAAACGTTCTATGAACTGAACTAAAGAATATGGCTAACGCTGCATTTTCACCATTTGTTTTCCATTCCAACATTTAAGCTACAAATCAACATTTTGAAATAAATACCAAATAAACATCTATTTGACAGAACAACATATTATGAACAAACATACCAATTTCCAAATTTACAACAGAAAAGCAGATTCACAGCAGTTATTTAATGGCTCAAAGGAATATTAATTACTTTTCAAAAATGGTGGTATTATTTGTGCATAAAAAATGAAAAAGGGTGTTTCTAAAAAATGTTAAAAATAAAGAATTTGGTGAAGTAATTTATTTAATTTGATATGTATAAAGGGATAGTTTACCCTTAAATACACTGTAATTGATATCATTTTCTTTTATAAGCTTTTTGGCCATGCTGCTTAATCTTGGTAATGAAAGCAGCTTACCCTCTTTCTGAGCAGTTGGTAGAAGCGCTGCTTGTGTGACAGCCTGTTGGGTGATCGCTTGTTGATATTGTCCATAGACAGCTGGATAGGCTGCGGCTATAATATAATCAGTAAATACATTGGAAATAAATATACTGGAAAATTATTGTCTAGACATAAAATTTGTTTTCCATATATTTTCATAGAATATTTATGAAACAATGGTTTCCATTATAGAAATATCTGAATTTTTTGATCAAATATTTAGGACAATGGTCTTCTTTACAAGGCCTTCATGAACATTTCTTTTAAAATTTAATGTGCCTTCCAATATATTTCACCTAGATGATGGCAAATTACAATTTTCTAATAAATTGTATATTTTAAATTGACACATTGTAACTGATGATGGTGTGGTACCAAAACATCTCTTTATGAGGGTAAAATAAGAACCTACCAATGCCTGCGTAAGGTTGAATGGCAGCATATTGTTGTAAAGGATCACCATTTGTAATAGCTTGGGCAGTAGCTGCTGCTGCTTAAATAAGAGAAAGACCTTAGTTAGAATTATATTCCTGCAGGAAATTTCAGGATAAAACACTCACTGTCAGAGACAAGATTCTGTCTGATATATGTATTATGTGAATTATTTGAGAATCCTCTGGATTTTAGCGCGTTTTAGCTTATGTACAATTCTTTTATTGTAATGAGGCCAAAATTGTCCTGAAGAATTAAAAATGCATTAAAGAACTGATTTTGAAAGGAAATTAGTGCCAAACAAGTATAATTTTGTCCTAGGCTTAGACATGGTCTTAGCATGTGTCAATTTCTGAACTTTTTATAAAACATATTGCTGTGACAGTGGATAATGATGGTTTTAGATGTCTGAGAATAGTTTAATTTCCATGCCAGACAGTTTTGAAATATCAAGTATCACTAAAGCTCACTAGACATGAACATGACTAATAGCGGTCTTATCATTTCTAAACATCCAGTCAATGTCAAATTCTCCAAGACAAAAATCAATACTTTGGTCAGACGTAAGACTAGAAATCTTGTTAAAACTCCAAGCCGTGATTAAATATGGTGGAATATTTTCACAGCCTTGTTTGTTCCCTAGGGTTTATGGCCATTTTGTTTCCATATGAAACTTCTAACAAATTAGATCATGTGTGAAATATTTGAGTAGGGGATATTTATTTTTCTCCTATCCTTTTGATTACTAAGCTATTTGATCACTGATGATGCAATTGGTAACCACAGTATCAGAGTGAAATTTGGTATTTAATTTCCAAGCACTGTACATATGAACCTTTCCTACATGTTAGTTGTAACTCTTGGTTGAATACTCAGTTGCAGTGTGACACATGAATCAATATTACTATGATGCAATTCATGATAACATCATTTTAAAATTTCTATAATGTTAGTTTATAAAACACCAAAATTTAAAAACATCAAATATTGAAAAATGACATTGAAAAACATCGAAAAAAACATTTATAAAAAATCTTTTATAAACTAACACCAAAAAATGAGAAAATAATGAGTAAAACTTGAGACTTGTTACCGCCAACATTTTCTTACTAAATAATTTTCTTTTGATAAGTAGCTTTGAGTGAGAGAGATATTAGTTGGCATGTGTCCAAGTTTCAAGTTTTACTTCTAATGAAAGTCTGCAGACATATTAAGGAAAAAGTCAGACATCTATTTCCATGGAGTAAATTTTGTCCCTGATAACAATCATTAGTTCACAAATACTCCCGAGTCTGCCTCATAAAGATGGCGGCAGCTATTTTCACATGAAGCAGTAAATGCCATTTCTCAATCTGGTAATTTGGTCTAACATTAATTTATAATTTTACAGACATGAACATGTTCCTGAATATGTCTGACAGACGTGATTTTGATATAAATATATACATTATAAACACAGAATGCTGGTACAACTAGAACTTAGCCCTTTCTATGAAATTAGTTTTTCATACTTAAATTCATATCATTATTTTAACCATTGACCAATGCTCAGAGTTACTAGATCATTTTCCAACAACCCCTAAAAACTGATTCAAAATTTCAAAAATAAAGCTCCTTCTTAAATAGACTGTTATATATACAAATTGCATTCAATTTGTCCAAAATGAGGAATTCAAAATCTAATTCAAATAAATATTTTCATAAAAATGTCAGCTTTCTACTTTCCACCCAAATACTTTGAATTTTGAGCAACTTGTGTAAAATAACAGTCTGATTATAAATATTCAACTTCAGTATCTAGTTATACCAATATTCTGTGATCCATAATGTATTAAATGTATAAGATAAAAAAGTGCAGGAGAGACACATCAATGTGTAACAGACGGACGAGACTATTTCACCACATCTATCTGATTTGAAATGTGTCTGTACCTTTGATCATACCTGGGAAGTGGGGCATACCATTAGCATACAGATCTGGGGTCTGATGACCATTGGCGGCAGTGGGTGGCACAGGGAAACTGGCCAGAGCTGTTGGGGAGAGGACATTTGGGGGAGCACCGTTTATGGTTGGAGTGACTGTGCCTACAATTGAAAAAAATATTACCAACATCACTTGATTATGTGACTCATCTTATTTTATCGTGCAATAATATACATCAAACTTGAAGCAACTGAAAATTATTTTGCAACTGAAGGGAAACAAGTACTTTTGGATTGGTTTTGTAAGATTTGGAGACCAAAAACAGAATAGTTGGAGAAGTGAGGTGTATAAAAAGGAGAAGAAACTAAAAACTGAAATCACAAGTGTCCGTCCAAATAATTGATCTGATGTTATATGATCAAAGCTACAGGATTTGATAAAACATTTACACACAACATTGAGATGAAAATATTTTGAAAATATTGAGTTTAGTATTGAAACACTAATAAAATTTCATGATTAAAGATTGTGTATGGATGACATATTGAAATAAGTTAAAAATAAACAAATGAAATATACATGCTTAAAAATACATCAAGAATATTTAAAAGAATAAAGGTGCACTAAAATAAAAGTTGAAAATAATTACCATTTGCTAATGTTGCCGTAGTGGGAGTTATGGCAGCTGTTGCAATGCCATTAGGAGCTGGAATTCCACCTATCTGCTGCATTTGAGTAGCTAAAACATTCACCGGGCTAGCTAAGTATGTTCCTTGTGCAGCAGCCATTATTGCAGCCTGTTGCTGCATCAATTGCTGGAAGAAAGTACAAATCAAATCAATATGAGTGACGCCATTATTTCTCTAGAATGATGAGTCATTTTATCTGGAGCTATTTATTAGATTTCTATCTCTTTTCATATAGTACACATCTGTCAACACAACAATCTAAATGGTTATTTTATTGGTATTTATTGGTGTTTTTTATTACAAGTACGGTACTGTGTAAAACTATGGTATAATCATTGAATAATGCACTAGTTGGATGCATGTTGCCATAAAATTCAATCAATTGAGAACTATTGTACCACACTACTGAATAATCAATATAACAAGGTCAACACTTGAGAATTTTCAGGATATTTCTAAGACAAGTAGTAAACTAATCAATTGAAGAAAATGGAATTCAACAATGGAATGGAGAAATTTTAATGAATCACACCATGGTATTTTAAATTACAAATATTACAATGAAATGACAGTTTTATGATGTATTGTTCTTGACAGAATTAATCTAATGGAAATTGGAAGTATGATAATTACAGTATAGACAAATATAGGCTAACCAGTGGCATCTACTTGCCCAATCACTGACAAGGAGATAAGTCTGATTGGAAGAAAACTTTCTCCAACCATGCATGGATCCATCCTTGAATTTTACAGTTTGTAAATGAATATCATCTATTAGCCCTATATCTCTGCAAGTTTATCAATACCCGCACTTAGACACACCCCTTAATCAATTGTGTAATGTGTATTCAAGGCAGTGCTAACTGATGAACAAAACCAGTTTTCAGATGGTGAACTGTATTCTTATCATTATCAAGCAATGTTATCTTCAATGCCTTGCCTATTACTCCCCAACACCTGCTGTTATCAGTAATGAACAGTGGAATGCAAAACAATAAAAAAAAAAAAGAGAAATATTTTTCAAACTTACTGTGGAGGGTACTTGAGCATAAGGTCCGTATGTACCAAGTTGATGAATTGTGTAAGGGTTAAGTAGTCCTAGGGGTCCAGCCATCTGATGCATTCTACGTAACTGTCTTTCTTTTTCTGTATCAGCAAATTTGACTACTAAACTTGAAGACGCTCCCTGCTTAAACAAAATGGAAAACGTTTGCTAGTTAGTTCACAGAAAGAAGGAATAATTAACGAATTCTTCATAATCATGACACGTTATGATTTATTGTCATGCATCCACCTTCCTCTGCATGATTTCATTCCGAATGCAATTCATTAACATATGTTGTTCTGAAGATCAAACGAACACTTCAATTCAAGTGTGTCAAAACTAAAGAGTTCTGCATGAAAATTTAATGAACTGTTCACATGAAATCAGGAAAAACAAAAATGGAGGCAGGCAATACTAACATAAAGAGACTTATTTCAAGAAATAAACAATAAAACAAGGAGTAGAATCTTCTTCTAGATAATACGGAATAATAAATAAATTATCTAATACAGTGTCTACCACGAGATGACATAACAGTAGACATGACACACAAGCAGAAACTAGACTATACTCACTGCCATAGTTTGACTTCCATGTAAAGCATTGACTGCTGATAGAGCTTCTAAATGTGAAGAGAATTTAACGAATGCACAACCTGAAAGGCAATAGAAATCCACATGAATAACGTTGATCAGAAAAAATAAAATTAATCGTTGTTGTTGAATAGCTCATACGATCAAAGTTCTAAACATAAATGTTAGAGGAAAATCACTGCCTTCTAGCACACTCTCTTATTGATTTCGAACTTCTCGCCATTTTAGACACTAATAACCTCCTGTTTGAAACTGCAGTAGTGACTACTATCATGTACTGTTCTAGAATCTAATAATATTTCCTACAAGACATGCCAAATAATGTAGAAATTTTTTTGATGGCAAGATAAATGAGTTTTGGAGGTGAAACCCAGTAAATCATATAATACATGTAGCAGTATATAAAGCAATCAATTTGCACATAAAAAGAAAAGTGATAATTCTGCTAGATTTTATCTAGTACCAATGATAAAGAAATATGGCGTGATTTTCTAGGTCAGACGCCACAGTCATGCATAACATTTTCTAAATGAATAGCTTGATAATGAATTTATCTTATGATCAGAACACACACAATGATATCAATCCATAAAAATCCTGGTTGGTAAAGCCTGAGACAATGAGACAAGATTTCCTTGAACACTTGTACAAACATCCGACTTCCACAACTAATGTTCATGTAATGATGCTTATATGAGGTTCACTGTGACCCATTCAGGATAGTTTGGCATTGGATGAGTAAGACTTATTCATCAAAGCTAGCGACAAACAAGAAAGAATGTAGCGATTCCGTCATCGAGGGAGAAATATATTGATTATCAATCTCATCAACAGACTTAATCAAAATCACATGGAAATGGAATGAAATATATCAAGTTGAAAGCAGCAATTAATTGTCCTACCAGTACCAAGCAATTTGAATGATCTCATGAAAATTTGATGAGTGTTAATGATATTGTTTTAAAGATCACATTTCCTTACAGCATTCATTAGCTAAGTAACTATTGTTGCCAGGTAAATCAGGTAATAATTTATAGTAAAGAATAGTAATCTTAGATTGCAATTATAACCTCCTTGCTTTTTTGATTGGAATATCATTTTGATTCATCTTTAAAATCTTGACCTCTAGGGAACTAACTTACACATACACACAAAAAAATTAAGGGATAATTCAAAACCAGATTAATTGTTGGTAGCACCTTTGGGTATCAACAGCATTTTAAAGATTGACCTCATTTTTTTCAAAAATAATTAAAAGAAGAGAAGAGTGTGTAATATATTTCCAACTTCACAATTTCTACCGACTGACAAACGAATGAAATTTTAAATCACATGCAACTGGGTTTAAATTATGTAGAAGAATTTTCTTAGAAGCTCACTTTAATAATAAATGTGACTGCAGTGAAATGAAAATTTTCACAACTGGATGATTTTCATGTTAAAGCTTAATGATTTCAAGAAATTTCAAACACAGAGAATCAATGAATATGAATCATATGAAATCAATAATATTCCAATGAAAAATTAATTTCTAATCAATATTTTATTCCATGTTTTGGATATATTCCCAGACAATCAGCTCTACCATTGTGTTTGAAAACTATTTCAGGAGTAAAATTTTTTTAAATATCGTTATGAATAAATAATACTTTGTTTTTAGATTGAAATGAAAATAATATTTCCATAAATATCTTGTCTTTGAGTGACTTTTCATTTATTTTTTATAGTTTTGGTGTCTAAATGTTTGTATGTAGTGGTTAGAAATTTTACAATATAAACACATTGTCCCAGAATTAGACAATAAACAATTTTTTAAATTTACAGATATTTTATACTTGTATTACTGAATATTGAAGACTTTATATATTCCAATTTCCCACAAATTTGCTATATTGTAAATATAAATTCTTTTCTGGCCTACTTACAAAGTCTTAGACTATTGTTACCTCAAGGAAATAATATTGCTTACCTTTACTGTTTCCATTTTGGTCTCTTAATATAGTACACTCTTCAATACCTCCAAAAGGAGATAATAACTGTCGTACATCATCTTCTGATTGCTGTTTATTTAACATACCAATAAACAACTTTCTATCCTCTGAAAAATAGTAAATAACAACATGAATTCAGATAAAGAATGAATTTTTTGTTCACATGAATTAAGGTAACCCACGATATTGTGAACTGACAGCATCTTAAAGCAAACAAATGGAGCCAGATAGCTGGCAGAAAGCACTGATAACTGTGTATCTTGATTAGCAGTCAATTAATTTGTCCATGTCAGCAGAAAGTGGGACTTAGTAAGGAAATGCTATAGATTGCATGTTAATCCTGAGCCAAACGACAGAAAGACAATGGTCATAGTTAAATGAACCAAATTTTCAAAAATGTTGCATAATCATATGTCACAGAAAACTATTTACAAATGATGTCTAATGGAACTCTAAATGAATTTTGCAGGATTTTTTTATTTATCGAATTTACAAGAAATGCTGTTGTTTAAGAATGGTAGTAATTTATTGCCTGAAATTGTCTATAAATCAATGTCTGTACTGGATATTTAAATTCATTGTTAACAACATTTCCAAAGGGGCCTGAAACAATTGGCACCACCGGCTGAGAGTTTTATCTAGAATCTTTTGTAATGAATGTCTCTATCTATCAATAGGTCTTAGACAGTTAAGGTCTTTAATTTTTGTCCGTAAGACTCTACTGAATAATTGAATGAACTATAAAATGAAGAAACTAAAAGCTTTACAGACAGACATAATTTGCCGTAAACATATGGCGGTGAAAAGCCTTTTGGAATAAATCAAGCAAAATAGAAGGGATGGCTGAAAATTTTAAACCTCCATCAGTTAAAATAGAAAACAGAACATCAGACAGATTTCCATCTCCCTCATTATACTTGTCTAAGTGACCCTTAAACTCAAACTACTTCCTCACAAAATAATATATTAAAAGATATAATAAGTATAACTGAGATTATTTCAATAATACTTTCAACTACAGTATGATTTATGTGTTTCAACCTATAGACTGAAATATATCCAGAATTAATTCTATAGAATATTTCTCTAGACTGAAGATTGTTACATAATAGAATATTTTACTACAACATGATATCACTTTCTTCTATCTTTAATAGTTTCTATTAAGAAAGGGGGATAACTATAATGAGAAGAACATTTTCTATAGCAAACGCACAGTTTAAAATAAATATAGCCTTTTTTAAGATGAACCTTACATGTTTCAAGATTTTAATGATTGCTAGCTTCTGCAGATAAAAAAAAACGTTCCAAGAATTTGACTTTCCCTGGATTACAGACAATATTCTTCTGTTAATTCTAATGACTCAACCTAAGCCTGGAGGAAGAATCTGAACATTTGAAGCATTCATCAGTGGTCTTAATCAGAGAAGCCGATTCTAATAATCACCCGTTTAGACTCAGGTTTTCCAATGAACTATTGATTTGCTTATCAGCGTTCTCCTAGTAACTGAAAGGTCAAATCCTAATATAGGTCTTGTTACTATATAATAACAGCTTTACATATTGGAAGGTGAAAATCAATTAATGCCATGACCAAATATTCTATCATTCCCAATGGAACTAGAGCTATTGAAATAGTAAGACTTCAAGTCAGTCGGTCTGTCAAGGAATATGATAGATAGATTTAATATAATACATCAATTTCTATACTTCTTCTTACAATTCAGGTCATCAGATAGAATCGGTCTGGAATTGACACAAATTTATCTTCCTATAACTTTCATAGTGTAAATTAAGTTAGGATGCCAACTCTTATCCCGAATTTTATTCAATCACCAAGACCATTTATAATTAGATTTATAATTAGTTATATTCCCATTTTTCTTTCAAAGAAGATCTTGAATATATTTATTCTGCAAATATGTTAACATTGGAAACCATACATTAATTTCACTGCTAATTATAATATAATTATTCTATGGTTTATTTTATTGACCAAATTTGTCACTAGAAAAATATTTCTATTCGTATTTCTATGACTCCAGAAGTTCAGCAAGGTGCAGAACAGTAAAATATGGGCTACTACAAGTTATGCCAACATAAGTTTATTCAATGATTTAGATACCATATATTATGATCTAACACAAGAAGGCTTTTAAAGAGCTGAGATGTAATCAAATAATACCATACTGTGGAAGCTTATTCTCCCAAAACAATTGCATACTGAAGACCTATTCACTTTTTCAGACTAGACTATTCTATACTGTTATAACTATTAAAGGGGAAGTGTGTCTCAGCTTCTTAAAAACAAAAGTTTTAAATCAATCCTTTCTTCCAAGGTTCAACAATATATGGGTACCAGTATTTGTTTATATTGAGATATCACTTTTTTTAAATATCAATGAACATCAATTGATTATAAATTTTTTAAAAACAGTTTGATATTCAAAATCAAAATAAATTTTTTCCCAATTCATCATTATGATTTTGATATAAATATTTAGAATAAATGCTCTGTAAATTGACACAGTGTCACATCAATTGTATTATATATAAAAACATATTAATTATTACATATGTGCATTATATTCATTTGAAAGAAAGGTGTAAATTAAATAGTGCAATCAATATACTATACTGGTTTCTAGTTGAGTGACCAATTTGATAATAATTAATATCATGTAAAATGTATTTATATGGGTAGATATTTATTGCTGGTAGATGAAAGATACAACAGCTGGAAACCATCACACTTATGAACATATAGTTCAATAAAAGCTGGCATAACAACATGTATGATCATTAATGATCCCAGTTTCTAATCAAAGTTCTTTCAATTCATAATAAAAATGATTCAACAATACTTCGAATCTCTAGAACTCTCAATTTCGGGATAGACTAAATATCAAAATATCTAATTTTGAAAACTTGTTAAAAGTTCTGTTTAGAATGTCAAAACACAGTGAAATATAAATGAGAAAGATTGGCATACACTATATATTAGAGCAGATGATTTTCTTGCACAATATGTTTTATACATTAGAGAGGGAGGTAGTATATTATGATATTATTCATTATAAATATAAAAAAACTTATAAGTATTCTGAACATAAGTTTGCAATTAAACTGGTTTACTGTCATGAATGATCAAAGTTTTATGCAAAATAATTTCACCACATGTACTCATTTTTAGCAACAAAAAACCTTTCAAGGTTCTTACAGTGCATTACAAAAACTGCAATCAAATTTGAAATTTTTAAAATCTGTAGGCTGTCTATAAGTTTGTATGTTTTAGTTCTCATATTATCAAAAATCTTGTAATAGGGTAATATTCACTTAAGAACTGGATGATCAAGGTATAATATATAATTCCTAAATTAACTTTTCTGAAAGAGTTGTATCAAGATAAAATTCCAACAAAATTTGATTGCTCTTTCCTAAAATAGCCATGACTTTCAAAATACACTATTCAAGAAGTTTGATGTAAAATCTAGCTGGTAAAGATACACAACTCTGAATAAAATACATATAATATTTTTTTACCTTTCTTGAATGTCTATTGAAGATCTAATTAGATAGTAGCACTGGAATTCTAAACATCAAGATATCCTACTGTTCTGCACCTTATGGCCTAAAGTGTAATTTTGCCAGAAATTTGATTTACTGTCCCACCCAAATATTCAAACCCCATTCCGGTCTTCATTAGTCGACTTACGCAAGAAAAAAAGACCCAAATTTCATTTCCAAGATTGTATTACAACTGCCCTGTCACTTGTCCATAGAGGAATTATGTACTAAAGAAAGTCTAATTAGATATGGAGAGGAGACCCATTTCTTTGATAATGTCCTAAGAGATGAGTTAAATATAGTATACACAAATCAGTTCTATTGAAATTATTGATGTCTGAAGGAAATCAACCCAGTCTTTGATCAGTCTAAATGAATCCTAAACCTATTAAAACGAACCCTTGGGAGGCTCCTAGCTTATAAATAATCATCAAGTCTGTTAGGCCAAGATAAATAATTATTACATATGGTGTGTCAGAGCTGTAAACTTGGAAAAAAAAATTCCCTTGGATATACTTAATATGTCTGGTGCTTGACTTTAAAACGACTGACATTTTTTGACCTTGACCTTGTCAATTCTTTTCACACCAGACGCTTCAAAACTTTATATGGATAAAGAGAAGTACATAAGCATACAATTCTGTCATTCAGGAACAACTTTTTACTACTAATACGATTCCTGAAGGTTCTATCAAATCCTAATCCAAAGATATATGAAAGTCTGCTGCCTTGGCTAAGGGAATTTATTCTTCAATAAGATTTCATGACCTGGATTAAAGTCATCATGCTTTATCTTCATTCATGCTATATTGAAAGTCTATGGTATCTGGAAAGAAAGTAGGCCTGATTACCTAGCACCAGGCAGGGTTTATCTTGAAATAATCTAGAGAGACTGTTAACATGTCAGTTGTTTCCTACTGTCTCAGTAGTAATAAAATAGTGAGAGCAGGTGTTCACATTTAATCATGAATAGTAAAAACTCTACATTAGAAACCTATAAACAACTATCTTTTCAACCTAATCTTTCTTACCAGATGCAGCTTTTATTTTTTTCAGATTTCAACTTTAAAACGCATACAAAAAATAAATATGAATATCAAATAAAACTGAATCAAATTTATGTATACTCAATGCAATCATGTGTATTGCCCTGAAAGAAATTAATTGTGTCACAGGTGATTTCTAGATCTGAGAAGAACTTCAAATTCAGAAAAGTTTCAAATTTCAAAGGATTTTTTGTTGAATAATTAAGCAGTTTTTCTTTTTGGCCTTCGCTTCACTCATGATTTTAATGGATTGAATTTTGAAATAATTGCTTGAGGTATTGAGAATCAATGTCACATGTACAGTTACTGTAAACAATGGAATACAGGAATAGATAATGATTATCAATAACATTAACTCATCCATAACATTGATTGATTTCTCTAAAACAAAGAACTGTTTACATCAATACAGGGTCAGACTAAACTTCAACTTATCAATAGAGAACGAAATGGAAAATGGTGCCAAAAGCTCAGAAGACAAACATATTGTTTTGCTTGAATTTTGGCAGGAAACATGTATCAAAAGAAATGTTTTGTAATAGTAATTAATTAACAAATATTAATTACTAGTACAGTAATTACTAGGTCTGTTTTATACTATACAATATATTATTCAAATTATAAAGAAAGCCATCTTTATTCTCAATAATTATAGCCTTCTTCAAACATAATAAATAGCCTTTTAATATATGGCTTTCTTAATTTCAGTACCAAGATACCAATCAAAAGATAGCAGATGGCATCATTTGTCAAAGCCTGTTGTTCTACCAAATTTCTGAGGATGGAAGTTCGTTATCAAATCAAGGGCTTCCAATTTCCCAGAAGAGCTACAAATTGACTGACAATTATCTGTTTGTGTTACTTCATGTGAGTTAATTTTAAAGTTTTGAACAAGAAATAATTTTATCATAAATACATTACATTGTTAAAGACTTTCTTGAAAATATGTATGTGCCAAAAATATATATCCACTATGTTATCATGGTTTTTGGTTAAGAATTATTTGGAATTATTTTCACTGACCTGAACTTGATGTCATTTTCCCATCAGATATTTGAGTGTATGATTGAACGTCTGGAAAATAGAGCAAAATCAATAGCCCTGGGCACATATAAAATTGGAATTTTTTCTACAGACTACTGTAAAACTATTAAACAACAATTCAACAATGGTCCAGAACAATGCAGAAGTACAGATATTTGGCAATATTTGGCCATTCTGTAAAACCAAACATAGGAATTTTAGGTTGTAACATTGCGGTTAAGCAGTGTTACGAAAGCACAGGCACAGGCATGTAAATTTGGTTATTCCATGATGAATCAAATAAAAGTATGGTAATGCTGTTTCACCTAAAATATGAATACACCTTTTGACCAAGAAATGTTATTCAATTTTGCTAATATTTGATTAGGCTATTATTATGCTAACTAATAACATCAATACAGGGTTATAGCATTATGCTATAAGACTCTGCTAAAATTTGATTATTTTGGCTTTAAATTTGATTATTTCATGTTCATTTTTTTATGCTTCTGTCTTTTGAACTGAACTGGGCTTCCTATATTTTATCATGCTATTTTGTTTGAAATTTGGTCAAGCAATTTGTTTGATTTGGTTGAGATATACATGTAACTGATTAAAATTATCTTGTCTCTGTAGTTTTATATAAAAAAGTTTCATGAATGGTTAAATTTATGTGGCATCTGAACTACACATCCTATACATGGAAGTTGTCTCCTGTTTGTTGCCCATACCAGTCATTTAATGATGTATAAAAGTACTATACACTGATTAATAGATGAAGAATAAATGAGTTGTATCAGGCAGAAGTAACTGTACATTATCACCTCTAGTCAGGCAATATACAGTTCTTAATCTTCATCAATAGTAACTTTGATTATTTTCCCTATTTTAATAATAATCTAGATCACTCTACACACTACCAATACCATACCAATCTAGATCAACCTGGAATCTAGAATATACCACCAAACAGTTAGTGATAACAATTTAGATCAACTGTCTATGATATCGTGCCTTGACCTAGAACGGCTCTAGATTTGATGTGCAATGACTAGGCTCATTTACTTCTAATGTAACTCGTAGAATGCATTTTGATAAACACTAAACTGTTGATTTTTTATGTTATAACAACAGGTATATTCAATATTTAGTAATGAACCCCATATCTTACACACTATAACCATAGTTTCAGACTGTAATCTATTTGTGCTAGTATTCTGATCTGTTCAGAGTGTGCAAAATGAATGTTATCTGATGATAATTTGAAAATAATCTTGAGGTCAATTACCAACATCTGTTCAATAAATTATCATATACCAGGTAGCTTTTTACACTTTCTCTTCTAAAACATCCTATGTTGATCTGCAATTATGTTTAGTTCTTTACAATATTGCACTTAGATTTTTTGACTGCAATATCAAGCAATGTACATAATTTTCAGTTTTCAACTGATCAGCATGGAGTTAACTTGCTTATATTCTTATAATAGAACTATTCTCTATGCTCTATAGATCAAGAGGAATGATACCAATTACAATGTAGTTATTAAATATGTACTCCAATTTGTATCTGTAGAATGAAAATTTAAAGGCAGCTGTCACATAGTAACTAGGAGTGTGTACATTTACCTTCATGAATGACTGCACAAAGGTAGTAACAAAGACACCTTGTTTCACTCTTTGTTTTGAGAATCATTTCAGAATATACATGTATATCATTAGTATACATTTCATGTGAAATTTAGTTTGGAAACAAGACACCAGATGTACGGTATATGGTTTTATCATTGCCATAACCAAGTCAAATACTGTATCTAAACCTAGTAACTCACAGAAGGCAAATACTATCTCTTTTATAGTCTGGCATAAAACAAACAAAAATATTGAAAATAGGTCAATAACTGTGTGATTTCTATGTAAAATTTGAATAAGTATTGGTATAAATTATGTATTTTAATGATCATTGATTGAACTGTGGAAAATATCAAAATCCTATAGTAAGAAACATTTATATTTTACAAGGACAACAACTTCGGTTCACAAAGTACACAGATACAATTTAAAACTCTATTGACTTACTGAAAATTACCAAATATCTAAGGAATATATGGTCCAATTTGAAATTTATCATGATTTCTTACATTGTTTAATTTCCAATAATGCAGATACATTGTTTTATGCAGCCTTTTCACTTCCATACAACATAGTCTATAATTGGTCTATTTACAGAAGTACCTATGACTGTCATAAAAAGAGATAAAATATAAATGAGGTTGTATTGATGAACTAAAGTAAGAAACATCTGCCCTCTATCCCTAGAGACAACACAATGGTTTGACAGTGTAAAGGCCAGTCTATCTACATTTAAATTCTATTTCTTTGTCCCTTTCTAATTGTTTTCTATCAATAACATTTCGATGTGAAAAGGGACAAAAGTTGTAAAAGTTGATTTTGAAGCAGTTGGGAGTTCAAATTATATAACTTGATTGTATCTACACTGAAACCTTCAATTTAACTTCTTCTAGTAAGTAGTTCCAGTAGACAAAGGTCACTGTTTGCAATCAGTGGTGGTTCAACTACCAGTACGTAACAATAGATCAGATATATTTTCATTTAAGTTGTTGAAATCCTATAATATTATGTCAGAATAGTGAGCAAATCTTGAAACATAGCTTAGGAATCAGTAATAAAATTCATTCATTCCATTCATAGTTGATTGAATAATTTTCAATATTTTTATATGTCTTGATTTGATATACACCTGAATTCATTCATTCCATATGAATGTTTTCTTTTCATTCAGTCATTCTTTTACCAATACGTTTTTCTTGTGATATTTATAATTTATATTCAAGGGCTCCAATATCAGGATAATAAATAAACCAAATTATTGACAGATGTTTCAAACTTAGAACATATCTTATCACTGCTACTAGGTTTGTATCAAATAAAAATATATTGAAGTCTGACCCAATTACTGAGTTAAATAAAAAATTTTTTTTACATCATAGAGCTGTTTGTTATACTGACAATTATTGACCAAAGAACTTCTACCTAAATTCCACAAATAAACTTTGACCTGAAGGAGTAATCGAGTGACCTCCAAAAATTCCCAGTCCACACATCAAGTGTAAAAATGTTAAGATTGTTAAGAAAAAGATGTCATTCCACACAAACTTGATAGCATTGTTTCTGATGGACATGTGTCTTTAACTCAACATTATTGTTTCAAGTAGGATTGCTACTGTCTTACAGCTATTTAATTTTCCCATTCAAGCACACGCCCTTGGTCTTTATACCCCATCAAGCATTGCGAGGAAACAAACATCAAATGCATTAGAATCTTAGTATTGATCAAACAAGCCAAAATGGCTGCTTAACGATCTTGAGAACCTAACAACATTTATTCTTCATCACTTCTAATGTAGCGCTATGTGTTTGTTTTCTTGTACAAGTCCAATATTTTGATGGAAGCTGTTTACGAATGAAAACAATTAAACACGGTGTATGGCTGTCAAATCGATGCTTGATGTAATTGAAGGGGAAATCGGCCTTGTTTTTATAACTACCCCACAACAATATTGTGTTGACATACTGATCAATTTCATACAACATATTCGCTCCTCCTGTTTGATACACTTCTAACCTTGTGTTTTATACACTAACTCTGGCATATATCCGATAATGGAGCTTTCACAATGTTGACACTGCGACAAAAACCACAGACGTCAAAGTCTGATCATTTTTTGCAGAATTTGAAACAACTCTATTTTGTGTGTAAAGAAGAGAAAATAATCGGAATGTTTGACAACATCGTAAGAAAGTTTGGTGCGTACAATAACCTGCTTGACTTTGATAATCATTCCTATTAACCGAATATTACTTCACTGATTCTACTTCACATCTTATTGGTTTAGTTGCTTTCTATAAATATTGATAGAAAATCATCCCTGGCAGATTTTAATACACATTTTAATTTGGCAGATTTCGTAAAGGATAACACAATATTTGTACTTTCATAACTTGAAAAATTTAGACAAGTTACTCAGTTCAGAATTTACAATTCTGTTCTACTGATAAAGTAAATAAAAAGAACACTGATTAGAATAAGTGCTACAAGTTTAGCATTCAATTATGGGATATTGTGTTGGACTTGTGTAAAAGAAGGAAATACTACTTAGACCAACATCTGCATTGAAACTCATCTTCATCCCATGTTAGAACACAAAGGACATGCTACCCAAATTTGTAAAATGTGTATATGAAATGCACATAGAAATCTTTATTCAAAACAATAAGTATTGTTCTAAATCAAACAAAAAATACTTCAAAGAATGTTCTACCACTATACTAAATGTAACTGCAATAACTATGATATATAAAAACAAAATCCCCAATAGTACTATCACATTATTCAAGATAAAGCTACCAGTATAAAGTCAGTGAGGAGAGAATCTGAAAACATGATGTACATCACAATGTTGAATTGATTATTTTTTACCAACAGAACATAAATCTCTAGATTCAACATCATGCTGGGTCAATATGTTACTGGATGTTTTATTAGGAAACTAAACATCATAATACATCATTCTACAGTCTTTTGTTTCCAGTCTCTTTATTGTCTCCATTTATGTTCAGTTGATATGCTTCATTGATGTTTCATACTCAAATTCTCTCTTTGTTGTGGCAACTATGAGAAATGGACCTAAATAACCCCCTCATGATGACATCAAATAGGGTTTGAACAGGGAAATGATGTAAGAAACAGTTTAAATTAGAGAGGCTTAGCGGCTGCTATTATTTTAATCTTATGTTTTGCTAGCTTAGATTTGTTTTTAAACCTCCTTTCATTCGTGGTGTCAAAAGTCATTTATAAGAGAGAAACCTTGTACACACATATAACAGGCTATCTCAGTGAAATACAATTACTGCAAATCCTTTTCTGAATTCCATCATCTTTAACTTCTATGAACAAATTTTACTTTTGATGTCAAAATGATTGAACTCTTGGCAA